TTAGAAATTTACTAAAAACAAGCCTATCGCAAGACATCTGGTAGGGGGGGCACCTGGGGTGGCCAGCCAAATTTCAGGGGGGCCGGTGCCACCACGTAGACACGCCCTTGGTAGGAAGGCACCAGGAAAGACGCACAAGTAGCACTGAAAGCGATGTAAACTGTCCAGAAATTAGCCTGTAAAATGTTGCTTAAACAAACTGTATAAAGTGTGTTTGATAGTTGTGTGAATATGAGAAATACCGTGAGCTGCTCGCCTCTCCTTGACGCTGATGAATGAGAGAAGGGACATCGACGTTATTCAGCGTCACTCATGTGTGCAGTGAAATATAATTATTAGGCATTTAAACTCTTGAGAAAATTACAACATGGAAAGCTCAAAAAGCAATCATAATCCTTCATGGCTTTCACAACTAAAATTAAGAAATTATTCCTGACGCAAACAGAATCGGCAGAAAATTTTAAACGGACAATATCAATAAGATGTTGATAAAATTAGTAATGAGTTTACTTGAAGTAATCAATCATTACTTGAAGCAAATGCAAAAATTAAGTAAAAGTTCAAACGAATGAGACCGATCTCTCTCTTTACTGGCTTAGAAGAAGAGAAGCAAAGCGTCCAGTTTCAAAGCTACATGAAAGTATATCTTGTATTTGCATGAAAGAGTAGAAGTGGAAGAGAAACTAGATCTGTAAAATGTTGCTTAAACAAACTGTATAAAGTGTGTTTGATAGTTGTGTGAATATGAGCAATACCGTGAGCTGCTCGCCTCTCCTTGACACTGATGAATGAGGGAAGGGACATCGATGTTATTCAGCGTCACTCATGTGTGCAGTGAAATATAATTATTAGGCATTTAAACTCTATTGAGAAAATTACAACATGGAAAGCTCAAAAAGCAATCATAATCCTTCATGGCTTTCACAACTAAAATTAAGAAATTATTCCTGACGCAAACAGAATCGGCAGAAAATTTTAAACGGACAATATCAATAAGATGTTGATAAAATTAGTAATGAGTTTACTTGAAGTAATCAATCATTACTTGAAGCAAATGCAAAAATTAAGTAAAAGTTCAAACGAATGAGACCGATCTCTCTCTTTACTGGCTTAGAAGAAGAGAAGCAAAGCGTCCAGTTTCAAAGCTACATGAAAGTATATCTTGTATTTGCATGAAAGAGTAGAAGTGGAAGAGAAACTAGATGTTCTGATGAAAAACAATGAAGAATGAGTTAAATTTATATCAGATTCACATCTCTCTGTAAGGCGTTATAACCTCTTCTTCAGCTCTCTGAACTGTGCCTCGAAAGGTTTTTTTTCTTCCAGTGTGATTTTCAGTTCATCATCTGTAGTAAACACACCGCCGTGTCTTTTCTGGTCTAATATTACAAATGAATCTTCTTTGTGTGAATCTTCAGGACTGACGCTCAATGAAACACTTCACCGCACTGATCACAGTTAAATAGTCTTTCTTCAGAATGAGAAGCCAGATGTGATTTCAGATGAAAGTTCTTCCCAGTGTGAACTCATAACTCATACTAAATCCTGAAGAGTCAACAAGCTGCCGACTTCTCCAAGTGACTGCTTTACAGATTGCACATCTCTTTATACTGAAGTAAAT